ATCTAAAACTGAGAACTGAAGTCATAATAACCTGCAATCTGATCATTGCAAGGTTTTTGATATTGGCCAATTTAGTTACTCTGGTGCTGATTTTTTATCATTGCAATTTATTTTGATATTGTTCAAGAGCTTTTATTCATTGGAAGGGTTTGTGCTTGTGAGTAAATCTGCTGATTTACCTAACCATTGACCCAAAATGGAAAAGACGTGATTTTTAAAAAAGATTATTTTTAAGTGAACTACACAACCAGCTATCAAATTGAATTAGCACATGGACTCATGCTATAATTTGTATATGCTTTTTTAGACACATGTCAAAAATTGTGATAAATGTATGCGACTGAGGTTACATTGGTGCTGTCACAGGTTCAAAGTGGTGATCAAGGTCATATTTTCTGCAATTTTGGAACAGTTGCCTAAATCAGGTATGCACGTGTCTATAACAAGAAAGAGATATTTTCTGAAAAGTTGCTTAAATACAGAATTAAGCATCCTATCAATTATTTCAGAGCCAATCTCAACCTATATCCTTTTAATTATTTCTCTAGACTCTACGTCTTACTGTTGCAGGAAATGAGAGAAGGTTGGAAATGTATAGCAACTTTTCGTTTGCCATCAGCACACACCTTGATTTCTCGGACACATGTTTGATCCAATCTTGGTAGCATGTTTTTTATAACTATCTTGGGTAGCATGTTGATCTTTGGTTAAACTTCCATGTGCTTCCTTGATTTTGGAACGGATGGTTTGCAGCATTTCATTTATTGCTGCTAATTTTTATTTTTAGGATATTTCAGGCGGTGGATAGTTGTTAATATAACCTATTTCCTTGGTTTGTGTTGTAATTTCTTCAGCCTTAATCTGGAAGGTAGTCATTCTACCTGTGACTATTGTGATAACTTTTAGATGTAACAATATATATAGGCTATGAATTATGATAACTAATAATATTTTGAAAGTTTATACCTTTGTGCCGAATCTTATGATTAGTCTTTTTTTGGGCAAAAGGAGTCTTATAATTAATCTGACTATGTTGACATGCCCATACCTTTGGTGCCTTAATATTTGAGCATCGGTACTGAAAGTTTTTTGTTCACTGAAATAATGGCTCACTTGCATCAGTATTGATATTTCAGTTGACTCTAGGTGATTTTTGGGAATCAGTAGAACACATGTTCATATTTATATGATCGCCTGATCAGGATATTATTTTTTTGCCGTTGCACTCAAACTATTTTGGTGTTCTTACAGTAATTTTCTTTTGTTTTCCCATATAGCGCTTGTGTGCTAAAGTCGAACAGGTCTGACTTCCGAGCTGCCTTGAAGCCAAATGCAGTTCTTGCTATTCTGCAAGTTTTGTATTTAGCAGAAGTGAAATAATGTTGTGACATCAGTGGCACCACTGGAAGCTTCAGTTCTAGCTAACACAGGTGAAAGCATTAAGCATTCATTATTTCTTTCCTCTTTTAAAAACAAGATAATAATATGAATGTCGTGTTTTATGTTTTTAAGGTAACAGAAAAAGAAGGGTTGAACAGAAACATGTGCTGTTGACCAGAGCAGGAGGTGTTCGGAATCAGTTTCATAGCTTGTCTTTTGACATGGCCAGAGATCAGGCAAAAGAGATTTCACACATAAAAATAACTTCGGTCAAGGTAGGCACCACTGGATAAGACTTATGCTCTTACATATAATTTCTATTCTCCATGCAAACTTGTTTTTCATAGCTTCATGGTACTCTTTTCCAATTACTACCTCATGTAAAAAGTAATCATTTCATCGAGGATTTTTTGAGGAGGGAGGGGGGGGGGGTAAAAACAAAGTCTAGGTTGTAAGAGTTATATGGGCTATGCCATATGCCATTAAGTGAATGAAGGGGCATTTGGAATTGTAGTATATACTGACAAAGGGCTTCCTATATTGTCATCATCAATTTGAGTTACGAAGAAAAGGTCTTGTGTAAAAAGTAATCATTTTATCGATGATTTTTTGAGAGGGGTGGGTGAAAAACAAAGTCTAAGTTGTAAGAGTTATATGGGCTATGCCATATGCCATTAAGTGAATCAAGGGGCATTTGGAATTGTAATATATACTGACAAAGGGCTTCCTATATTGTCATCATCAATTTGAGGTATGAAGAAAAGGCCTTGTGATTTCGTTTAAAGAGTGAATTTTAATTTAGCTTGTGCGGATAGTATTTATTGCAGTGATTATGAGTATTTCACTGTTCTAACATGATCTTCGTTGCTATGATGCATTTTTGACAGGATGCGGTTTCTGAGAATAACTTTCCCCAATAATGCTTATGGATGCTGTTGGGATGGATGAATGTGCCATTGGAACATGACCTCAGCATACAAGGTTTCACTCACACGATGCTGCTTGAATGGAGCTCAGTCTCACAGAGTTCAACGCTAGGTGCTAAAGTCATATAGCAATTGTGTATGATTATTCTAAATTTCTTTTAGAAGGAATGTATAGCTGCTTGTCTTATGTGAAATAATTAAAAATGGAGTAAGCTATCAATACATTTGATTTACTATTGTTTGAGCTGGAAAAAATTTGGGGCTTAGTGCATCTTATGCTTATTAGTGCACTATTAGTGCTCTGTTTTATTAAGAAGAACTAAAATTGACTAGCTCAATTTAGCTGTCAAGTACTACTATAATTTAAATGTCAACGTCGATATTTAATTTCATAGTATTATTATCTTATCGTGCGATCCATGTGTTTTTAGTATAAAAGTTTGGTTGTCCCGTAGCAATGCACGGACACACTACCTAGTAATGACATTAAAACTAACTTGTACGGAGAATGGCCTTAGCCCGAGAGACGCATTGCAGTTCCAACTGCTCATGAATTTCCCCTTCGGGGCAAGGCCGTTAATCGTTCCGTGTGAAAAAAGGAATGCATATAACTATATAGTCTATCGCTACACCCTAAAGTGACGAACCAAACCTAGGGTGTGTTTGGTTGATGCTGGGACAGGGACGAAGTTGGATATCCTATTTTGTCTTGAAGTTTGGTCCGGAGACAAGTGGGGATGAAACAGCCCCCCTTGGAGAAAATATTCTCCTAAGATGTCGTCCCTAGGTGAAGGGGCGGGGGCAGGGCGCCTGCTTCCCTCCTGGAGTAGCGCGACACAGAGCCATGAGTGAGGGATGCCAGAGGAGTGGACCGGAGGATAGAGCCATGGCCAGGGGGATAGAGGGGAATGCGACGCGGGGAAAGGGCGGGCGAGTGAGGCACGCGGGAAGGGGTCGCAAGGAAGAAGATGTACATGTCGACAGATGAAATCCCACCATTGATGGGGTCTGACAATGTAGATATATTACCTATCTCATCCACTCCGATCCCAAACAAACAAACAAACAAACAAACAAAATTAGAGTTTTTAACTCTGACACCCTCACCGGATGGATATAATGAATTTTGATATAATGACACAATGTGAGCGTCAATTTATTGGGCGTCCTTCCTGCTGTTTACTAGCACACGTAAATCGTCAACCAGATATGTGGTATGCCGTGCAACACCAAACATAACATGTACTGATCGATAGTCTGATACCATGACCATGATGATTTGCTACGAGCTGGACGAATGATCGGCCAGACACTCAGACGACGACGACGAATGGTACGTTCCGCCCGTCCATGTCTCTTTAAATGCCGAAATCCATTCGGGGTGGTCCATGACACGAGACTACTCCACTGCTCTAGCTACCACAACCGTCCGGTGCTCTTCACTCAAATCAGAGACCTCATCGGCACGTGCCGCCGTGCCGGAAAGGATCCGTCCGCGGTCCGTGCAAGTGGCTGCGCTGCACGCAGGCCCAAGCCCAATGGCAACAACACATACAGCCTGTTCGGGAGGCCGTATCGTATCGAAGATTATTTACTGCTGGCTGATTTGGTATGAGAGAAAAACACGGTTCCCGACTTGAAATTTACGATTATTTACGAGCAAGCGAACAGGCTGATGGTCGTAGCTAGCACGTACTGTAACACATGTCTCTGTAGCATTCACGTCCCTGACAACGGGGCATGCAGGAGCAGAGATGAAAAAGAGGCAAGAACACGTGCGTGCGACCGGTCCATCACTGACACTGATCGAGCAGCTCGGTCAGGCAAGCGTACCAGCAGCAAGTGTTGCATACGTATGGAGTAGTACTCCTTACTTGCATTGCACACTGGGCCGGGGCCCTCCGGTAACCTAACCTAGCTTGCCCGCGCTGTGTGCCGATCGCCGTGTCGGCCAGTCACCAGTGCCTACCTCTGCTGCTTGCTAGCGCTAGTGCATGTAGTAGTAGTATGTCTGTGCAGCCCAGCCGGCCACGCATGTGCCTGCAGATTCAGAGTGTTCTCCCAACTGCAGGCAGAAAGGAGGTCCGGCCTTGTCCCTTCCGGTTTGCAGGTTGCACTTGCACCCTCACTTCCTGTCCTGTCCAGACGACGTGCACTGTGCAGCTTGTGCTTTTCGTCACATGGCATGCAGATGCAGGCGTCCAAACCGTTGCCTGCCGGCCGACTTCGCTGCCTGTGGGCTTTGGCTTTGCCTCTTCTTGCTTGTTGCTTCACAAACGACGATGGCATGTGGTCGCCCAACTGCCCCCGAAGGATAAACATTCAGAGCTCAGAGGGTCAAAGGATCCATCTGGGAGAAGATACCATAAGAAATATTAACAGGTTTATTTCACTCGATTTAACGATGACACTACTACTTGCAAACAGGACACATTGGATGCGTCGTGCAGAGTACCAGTTGCACCGCAATGGCTCATCAGAACAAGCACCTGAATCTGCTGCATGAACATCCTGCACAGCTGCAAGTCTGCAAACTACCTGATCTGTCACTGCATGCATGCACGCGCCAATGCAAGGCCAGGGGTGTGCATGGCGCCATGGCGTCGCTGCATGCATGCTCGTCTTCTACCTTCTCTTCCTTCCTCTCGTCGCCGTCCACCGTCCACGCACGGCAGTAGAGATCGAGCGTCGTCGTCAGTCGTAGGCGGCGCTGAAGAAGACCTTGACGACGTTGGCGGAGAGGATCTGGAGGACGCCGGAGTTATTGGACCGTCCGACGCACCGCGGCGACTTGAACTGGCTGACGGGGGCGCCGAGGGAAAGGTAGTGGCGGAGCACCTTCTGGAAGGTGCCCCGCTGCAGCACCCGCAGCTCCAGGGGCCCGATGCCGCTGGTTTTCCGTGACCCCACGTACCCCGGGTCCGTGAAGGCGCGGTCCAGCTCGTCGCAGCAGCTCTGCAGCACGTCGTCGTTGCCGTCGGCGTTGATCTCCCAGAAGACGACGTAGTGGCCCGGGTCGCGGGACACCTCCGCGTGGCTGCTGTAGTCCACCACCTCCAGCTTCTCCGCCGCCAGGATCTTGGCGGCGCTGTCCACGGCCAGCTGCAGGTCCTGCTCGCTGTTCTTGTCGATGTTGATGCTCAGCATCAGGTTCCGCCGGCACACGAACTGGAGCTTCGGCGTCGAGTTGTAGAACCCGGCCACCTTCACCACGTCCCCTAGACGGTACCGGTACAGCCCTGCCAAAATATATATATTCCTTTAATATAAAAAAGAGCAATAATGATGCACAACGCGAGTGTTTCATCACTTGCAGGCAAATCTTATCCGTTCATCAGACAGGGTCACAGGACACATCATGTTGTGTAGGCCCTTTCTCATGACGTGCGTGCCCTGTGCATACCCATCCATGGAGTCAGAGTTCAAGCAATGGAAGTCTCCAGGTTGGTGCAGCAAAGTCTAGTACATACCCATCCATGTTGTGCAGCAAAGTCAGAGTTCAATCGATGGAAAAACATACAAAATGCCCACGTCCACAAGCCCACAAGCCACAAAGGTGATAGGTGAGGAAGAAAGCGAAAGGTTCTTGTCTAGTACATAGCTGCTTGGACGACTAGTAGTAAGACACAGACAGGCAGACAGACAGCCTGAAAATTCAGCTGCTTCGTTCTGAATAAGATTCATTCAACGAAGAAGCCAGTGTTTGACGGCAGCAAGCAGCCGTTGCACTCAGTTGTGAATGCACGCGACCCCTGCTGGTCAGATTCAGTTAGACTATGGCTTAGGTTCCTTGCAGGCTGCAGAACGCCCAAGAACAATGAACGGACGGCAAACCGACAAACCACCATGGAAGCAGCTCTTTTGTCTTAACATATTTTTCATGGCCGGTCCACCAGTTCCACATCTAATCCATATTTTACTGGCCGATAAGTATTTACTAGGAGTAGATGCTATTAGTACTCTACTACCTCTACTAGCTAGTCTTTAGTCCAATCAGAGCCTTTTTTTCTCTTTTCGAAAACAAAACAAGACAATACCGCATTCAGACTAAGTCGTTTTTGCAGTTGCATCACCCGTGTCACTTGCCATTCAGTCAAGTTTAATATTCAGGCAGTGGGCAGTAGTGTAGGAGTAGGTTCCAAGAAGAAGAGTACTCCTAGCTACTAGCTGTGTGACAGTAACACTGCAACTGATGATGGATGGATGGATGGATGTGCATGGGAAAAATTTTCTATTCATTTCAAAACTGCGTTATATAAGTCCTCGTAGAAGATTTGCAAACACACGTTTGCGCACCTCATATGCGTTGAAAATGGATAGACTTTTAGACTAGAATCTTTTAAACAAAACCATTTTTGCATTAGTTTGTGCACTCCTGTTTCTTGCTGATTTTTTTGTTCATAACCTACCGAGTCTGACACACACTGTTACCGAATCCAGATCTCCGAGATCGTCCATGCATCTCCTGTCCTTGATGACCTACCAGAGATACTATACAAATGGACGCACAAAAGTGCAGAGCGGTCGCCAGACAGAACAACAACTAACGTCGGTTTCAGACCTACTGACGTTTTTTTTTTCCAACTGGGAATAAAATCCATGCTGCGAGTACGACGGTCGCAGCTCACCAAAGAGCCATCTGCTTTCTCTGAAAGTGAGATTTCACTTTGTGCCTTGTTCAGTTGTTCGAGACCGGGAGGACGTACGTGATCGATCGCAAAAGCCCAAGGTTCGGACAGCTGCTGAACGGCGACCGCCGGCCGGAACGCCGGAGTCAATCCCAGCCGGCCCCTCCTTCGGCGGTCGTCGTCAGACTCAGAGGTGATCCAAGTCAACAAAGAGGAAAGCGTGAGACGAAACCAAAGCTGTGCGTCTCACTGTGCCCACAGGTTAAGATTAGTACGTCCACTACTGTCCACAGCAGCACAAAGCAAAGTTTGGTCTCCATCTGGATCTGGAGTAATTAGGTAGCTGCTGGCACGAAAATAACAGGCTTCTAGGGCTTTGTACGTTTTTCTCCGCTGTACAAGCAACAACAGCTCATACCATCCAAACCTAAATCCGATGAACATCTTGGCCGGCCCAACGACAGTACTTTTCGTTTCTACAGTGTACAGTTCTTGAAACCGGCCGGCATTATATTGTTCAATGCAAGCACAGCTGGAATGGTTAAGAGATTAGTCTAGTGACGATGTACGGTAGGTCACAATTTGGAAGTCTGGTGATGAACAAACATACAAAACAGTGGTAAGCACCATGCATCGTCGTCGTCGTCGTCGTGTATGAATTAAAACGAACGAGCGAGAGCGAGGACCAAGCCCCAAGGAGGATGTGTGTAGTAATGCAGTGTTACCTGCGAAGGTGGTGACGACAACCTCGTAGTGCTCGCCGACGGTGACCTCGGTGAGGCCGACGGGCTCGGCCTCGGCGTAGCAGGTATCGTCGTCAGCGGCACCGCCGTGGCAGCTGGTGGCCTTGAGCGGGATGAACTCGAAGTAGGCGATGTTAGGGAGCACGGTGAAGGTGACGGACTCCGGCGGCGTCTCGGGCTCGACGTTGGCGCCGACCCATCCCTCGGACGCGCCGTACTCGGCGGCGACGAGGGGCAACCCGCCCGCGTAGTGGCGGAGCTTCTTGACGTAGTGCTCCATGGAGCCCGTCATGATGCCGTGCACGTACCTGGCGCTGGGGAAGAGCGCCGGGATGATGCCGTACCAGTTGCTGAGCCCGGCGCACCTGCGCGCCACCTCGTCGGCGAGCGCCGGGTTCGGGCCCGTGAGCAGCGCCTCGACGGCCCTGCGGACGGCGGGTCGGTGACGCGCGTGGGGAGAGGGAGCCCGCGCGGATGTCGGCGCACAGGTCCTCCCAGACGCGCTCGAAGGTCTGGAAGGCGAGCACGAGGCTGTGTGCGAAGGTGGCGGACACGATGCAGACCTCGTCGGCGTACAGCAGGCCGCACAGGAGGTGGCAGTAGAGCGACTGCGCGAAGTCGGCGCCGAAGATCACGGCTTCCGGGCTGCACACCTGCGACTGGATGGCGCGCATCGTGGGCATGAACTCCTCGCTCCGGTACACGTTGGTGGTGGCCGTCGTCGCCGTCAGCCCGCCCGTGGTGGTGAACTGCCGGCTGCCGTAGATGAACTGCAGCGCCTTGCCGTCCTCCACGGGGAACGCCCTGCACGCATGGATCGTCCTCAGATTGGAAGAGGTCATGATGGATCGAAGACTAAAAGCCTGGTCGTTGGAGCGTCGTCGATCGACGACGTGCCAAGGCTTATTATTGTTGTCTTGGGTGATGAGATGTGGCATGCATGTGTGAGTGTGTACTCACCTGTTCCTGAAGGCGTAGGAAGTCCGGTATATCTGCATCGTGGACTTGACGAGCTCCTGGTTGAAGGGCAGGTACTTGCGCTTCCCCTGCGTCGTGCCGGAGCTGCAAGACATGACATGGGGCCATGGGGGCCGGCGGTACGTCCGTCGTCAGTCACGGTGACCTTATTACTGACATGGCGAGAGCCAGAGAGCGAGTCGACACGACGACAGACAGTGCGCGGTTACCGACCGACCTGAGGGAGATGGAGGTGATGGGCTTGGCGGTGAGCACGGCGGAGGTGTCGCCGTCGGCGATGCGCGCAATGTAGGGCTCGATGTTGGCGTGCGTGGCGAGCGGCACGCAGGCCCGGAAGCTGGCGGCGTCGGTGCGTCCCGCGAGGCCCCGGCACCGGAGGTACTCGGCGCTGGCGTTGTCGCCGAGGATCCGGCGCAGCGTGTCCCGCTGCACGGCGGCGGCGTCCCGCGTCAGCGCCTCGAATTCGGCGATCACCTCCTCGCCGCAGAACGCGGCCTGCAGCGGGTTCTTCTTCTCCGGCATGGCGTCGTCGGCGTCGCCCGGGACCGGCCGCCTGCTGCTGGCCCTCGTCCGGCTGCTACTCTGTCGTCTACCTGCGAGGCGAGACAAAAGGACCGGCACCCGGACAAGGAGTGAGGACGTCACGCCCAGGGACTCGCGCCTCATCGCATCGGTGGGTGATTGTTGCGTTGTTGTGCGCTGCGCACGGCACGGGCACGCAGAGGCAGGCAGGCACTGAGCTGTGCTCCTCCAACTCCACGACGGCCGCGCGCGCCCGTCCGTTGGTGCCGCGTTGGGCGGGGAGCGGAAGATGACGGCAGCAATCTCATGGGATGGGGGTTAGTTTGAGTGCACGCCCCACTTGGCTCGCAAGTCGCAACCAATTTGCAGCGAGCGAGCGAGCGAATGGGATAAAAAAGTGGAGACGGAGACGGAGCACCGCAGGGAACCGCGCGCGCTCCTCTCCCTCCCCATGAATGACCAGACGAGTCCAGACCAGCGCACACGGCGTCGGCCGGCCGCACAGCTGAGCTGAGAGCGCGGCGCGCACGCGGGGGGACCCGGCCAGCCGCAAGGCACAAGGCCAGCGAGCGAGGAGGAGAAGGAGAAGAAGACAGAGGTAGCCAGTAGCCTCACCTGCGGACGACGCCGCGGCCGAGGCCGGACAGCGGACGGCGGCCTTCCTCCCCCTCCCCTCGCCCTGCTCCGGCGGCGAGCGAGCTCGAAACGGCCGTGCTGGTGCGGTGTGGCGGACCAGGTCACGCACGACTGGAGTGGACTGGACTGCCTCTGCCTGCGCCGCACGAGGCCAGGCCCCTGCCTGCATATATACACGCGGGCAGCACGCCGAGCGTGTCCGTGAAGCGGCACGCGCTCTCCGAGCGGCTGGGCCCAGGCGCAACGCCCAGCTGACAGCGACGCCATCAATATTTGTGCTTATCGTGTGAGTGTGAGTGAGTGAGTGAGGATAAGGCCAGCAGGATGTTACCCCGATGACAACTACGTCGCCATTTGCTACTCTTGGTATGTATGTATGGTGTATCCACCGTCTTCATTTCATTGTAATTAAGAAGAAGAAGGGTTTAACTATACATACGACGCGTTTCTAATGAGCGCTCTAGGAGGTCTTACAGTTGGACTGGACTTTCCTAGCAGACTGTTTGGAACTTTGATATTACATAAAAGTAAACAACCGAACTACGAGCAGCGCAGTAGCCTACGGAGCTTTGGGTCTCCGCTAATGGCCGCACGACTCTACTCCGTCATCCGAGAAGAGCCTTGTACCAATCGTAGCAGCGGTCGCCGGGAACAGCTCGTCCAGTGCTTCCACTTCACTCGACGTCCAGTTCCTTGCGAAAAAGTCGTCGTAAGCTCTCTTGGACGCAGATGAGATTGGACCTGCCGGCGGTGCAAAGCCCATCCTCCGCATGAGGAGCACCTCGTCCCGCTTGGAGATCGGAATGTGCGCCAGCGGCTGAGCGGCAATCCGTATGCTCCGCTTTGGCATGGGTTGCCCTATGGTTGGCACCTTCTGCCTGGGTGGGCTGGCGATCAGAGGCGGCATTCGCTCGAGCTGCACCTCCTCAGTGAACTGTGCGAGACGTCGGGCAGCTTAAAATAAAGTCCTAAACTACTCTAAGTGTCTTTCCAACTTCAATTGACACTTAGAACTAGTTATCCTTAACCTTGTCGTCCATCCTTTGAAAACCGAAACGATTTCCATCGTAGGGGCATGACAACCTCAATTGCCCAATCGATCTCCATTACCATGACCTAACTTAATTGCCTCTGCAAAACACACGTTAGTCATAGTAATCTTGTATTGACATTAATCACCGAAATCCACTTAGGGGCCTAGATGCTTTCAATCTCCCCCTTTTTGGTGATTGATGACAATACCACCTCGAGTATGTTATGGAATGAGGTCTTTGACGGGCTTGGTTCATATAAGCTTTTGTCGTTAAGAACAAAAGAGTTAGGCAAGCTTATATGACCCAAGCCAACACAATGTACTCAAAGGATATGAATTAAGCATGAGTACAAGTAACAAAGCTCATTTGCTTCGAAGTGTAAACGCGGAAGCAAAAGCAAATGAGCATAACACAAGTGATATGACATATAGATAATGCAAAGTAGAAATCACACATGTCAAATATCACAATCACGTAGATAGCACTATCACATATATATAATAGTATGCATAAAAGTAAACACACGAATGCATAAGTAATAGTGTATCACACAAATAGAACTCCAAATGTATATAATAGGCTAATACTAGATAACTAGCTCCCCTAAATGTAGCTCCCCCACGAGACTACATACTCAACACACTCTCCCTTTGGTGTCAAACACCAAAACCTAGGGTCGGTCGAAGGGGCAAGCAGCGACGAGTCGGTATTTGAAGAACGTGGGGCAAGCCGGAACTGGGCACCATCATCATCGACCACGAGCTCTGAATCGACCGACCCTCTGGCGGCGTAAAGTGTCATTGAAGCGGTCTGGTTTGAGCTGGGCCAGTCTTTGCTGTGAAGTCGCTAGTATGTCTGTCATCGTGGGATCTGACGAGGCGACATCTGAGGGGAGCCTCTGAGTAGTCACAGTGACTGGGTCTACTATAGACGGACCGGCAGAATGCATATGAGGCGGAGTAGGCATGCCGGTCAACTCACTGAAGCATGCTCCAAGACTCCTGGAGACTAACGTGTCAGGCACGAATAGCGAGGAGGACTGCTGCCTGTGAAGCCCATCTGAAGTGGAGTGAATCATGGGGCTACCACGGGTGAGGCCAACCATCGGGACACACAGTACAAGAGGTGAAGCAAATTGAGCTGGAGGCTGTCCTCGACCGGAAGCCCATTGGTCAGTATAGCCGGAGTCGTCGTGGTGGGCAGCAGCCGAGCAAGCGAGGGCGAAGTCTGTGGCTGTGGGGCCCCAAGAGCTGTCACTACGTGCTGCATGAAACCCATAAGCTGCTGCTGCAAGAGTATCTGCTGTTGATGCATCTGCTGCTGCTGCTGCATGGCCTGCTGCTGCCTCTGGAACTCGTCCTGTCGAGTCTGAAACTAGGCAAAAGTAGCAGCTGTCTCCTGTGCCTGTCTATCCTGTGTCTGCTGCATCCGCTCAAGAATAGCAATGAGAGCGGGGTGCATGCGTGGAGCAGTGGAGGCGAATCGAGCTACCGGCCTCTGCATCATGTCTGCGTGGAGGCATCGAGGAATAGGCGAGATAGTCATCGTCGAGGCTGCCATCACTTGTTTCGCTCACCTCCTGCTGTGCCTCTAGCTCCTCCTCAGTGGCTGCAATTCCTCTGATGATCTCATCCTGCTGAGCTGCGGACTCACACGCGTCGGGACGATGCTAAGTTGTCTGGGTGCTGAGGCGTGGTATGTCTGATCCTCTGTGACAAAGTTGTAAGTCGGGAATTCGTGGTGGCACTGTATACTCATCCATCATACCAGGGGGCTTATCAAGCACTATTCTACGGATAAGAAACGTGATCCAGTGAGCATAGGGAAGCTACCTGCGACCCTTGAATCCCTCAGCTATAGTATCCTCCATCTCTGAAAGAAGGAGGTCCCAGATATCAAATCTTGTCTCACGCATCATAGCATTAAGAAGCCGGTGGTGTAAGCGAGTCGACCCTCTCTATATCCCAACACAGGGAAGCAAAGTGTCCTCCCGATAATGGCCTCTAGCACTCTCGGCCGTAGGAGTCAAGTCACCGGGGTTCTGCCGACCCCTCCAAAAGGCTCCTTGAAGCAATGTCGCACTAAATCAGTGGGAGGCACCAACCCTCCATGTGGACGCTTGGGAGGCTCCTGCATGTCCATAATGACCTCATGTATCTTGATAGGCTGCTCCACAGTAGCCTCAGTATCTCTCTCGACCACGCCACGTCACTCTGTAGTCTTTGCCTCTGAAAGCAAAGTGAATAAACATGTGATGTGGATCGATGAAGAGTGAAGCATAAAATCGACGAACCCAAGATGGTACATATATCCCCGTCCCGTCAATCAAATCATCGATCCCCGCAAATATGACAAGTATGGCGAATGCTCTCTCCGGTTGCCGCCACAATGGACTCTATCGACAAACTCTCCGAGATCTGAACACTTTGCCCCACCGTTGAGATAAGCATTGTAGAAATCCTCCTGCAGTGGCGTGTAGAAACCCTCAGCTGCTCTCTCATCCCTCCTTAGAGGAAACCAAACCTCAAACTCAACAAAACGCACTTGCCGAACACTCTTTGGTGGTGGCGCCCTCAAGTCGAGGTGTACCACTCGAGGTGGACCACGTGGTCTAGGTGGAGGACGTGATCCCCTCCGCCGTGTCGGCGGACCTTAGCGAGACCGGGTACACGGTCCGTCCAAAGCGGCGGGCTGAGGGTGCCGCTCTGTCTCCTCGGCCTCCCGGTCTGGCTGAGGCTCTGCTTGTGGGGGGCTTTCTGCATCTTGATAGACCCTCCTCAATGGCAACCCGTCGTCCTGCAAACATGAGCAGTCCAATTTGGACTACCGTGGACGACGCCAACCTCCTCAATCGCAGCTCTGAATCTTTGGTGGCCCAGGCTGATCTACAATGACAACTCCATCTGCGGGGCACCACCTCTCTCGGCACGCTCTGCGGCCTCTCGCATTACCGCTCTTCTTTGCCTCTCGCATCGGGGTACTTCCGCTTCTTGGATGTCACCTGCTTGGTTGACTTGCCCTTAGATCCGGCTGGCTGGCGAGGCGGGGCCTCCGATCATCATCACCTGGGCCACCACCAACGTTCTTGGTGCGAGCCATCTGAATCGACAAGATGGTGAATCGCCACCGATGAAGATCAATCATCAAATCTAACGCTTTGAGGCTTGGCCTCGATCCTTACTCATGAGCTTGGCTCGAGTTGATCGCCAACCGCCGGAAGAACCACAACGGAACCGACTTCATTGCACGATAGAGAGTAGATGGATATCTGACGATAAATACCATATGTCTAATAGATGCGAAACCCTAACAGAGAAAGCAATGTAGATGCGAAATTGAATCGAATGGCTTTCTACCTGACGATCAGCGATCCGTGAAAAGATGAGATGTCACGCGGGGGAACCTCAGAATTGGCTAGGGTTACACGGAGCAATGATGAACTGGTGGCCCTAGTATTTGTGAAATCAGTGCATT